AGACAGGGAGGTGAAGAAGCTGTCCAGGAAGTGGGTGGAGGTGAGCAAGTATGTGGTCCGTGGGGGGATTCTGTGTCTCTTGATCTCCGTATCTATCAGTCTGCCTGTCTCTCCCGCTCCTTTGCCTTCCACTCTTGCTCTTTGGTTTCAGAGTAATGTGGGAGTTTGAAAATCAAGCTCTTTGGTCTTTCGTGGAGGGACCCCAAGGCTAGGCTCAGAGCTTGAGGCAGCAAAGACTTTCCCTCTCTTGGGATGCTCCCAGGCAGCCAGGTGCTGTATCAAGCAAGAGCTGAGCCAGAATCAGGAGCCTGCCTTTGTGACAGGCTGTGGGTAACCCCACCCCCATTGGGGGCCCTCAGGACAGCTGGCTAATTAGCTGAGTCGGCCTTTCAGATTAAACAACGATCTCTCCCTCCCTCTGGAGGGACTGATGCTTTGACTCTCAGAGCCAACTCTGCTGACTTCTCTGGGGAAACTGAGGCCCATTTCTCACCAGCTCCCCTGCTCTGTACCATCATAGCTCCCTTCCCCAAGAAGCTCATCACTGGGAAATGTCATTTATCCTGCAAGACTGAATGTGCCTGGGTGCCCACGTCTCATCGGGCCCCTCGGAGGCCACAGGCTCCAGGGCCTCTATTTAAAGAGATGGCTCAGCCCAGCTCCTCGGAGGTGGGACTTTGGGGATTTCTCCATCAGGTCCCAGACTTACTTACCTTCTCCCATCCCTTCAGCTTTCTTTTGAATTTTGTCCGCCTCCCATACATCGTAAGCCTCTTGAGGGCTGGGATTGTCTTTGTTTGTATTTGTTATCACCACAGTGCCTGGCGTGTAGTAGGTGGCAAGAAATGTTTCTTGACTCATTGACCAAGGTCCCACAGCCAAAGGCTCTGAACTCCCAGGCCAGGCCTCCCAATGGTGCACTCCATTGTGTGTCTCCACCCAGCACTTGGCAGTTTGGAGGGGCCTGGCTAGTGTTCGGTGGCCCATCTTGGAATAACTTTCCCGGGTCTGAGCAAAGGCCAGGTGGGGGAGGGAGCCGCTCCGAGTGGTTGTTTTATTTCTGTTTTCAATCCAGTTGCCCCAGGCTGCAAAGTCTGCCCCCCCCCCCCCCCAAGCCTGGGAGAGCGCGTGGGCGCCGGGAAGCCTGGGAGAGCTTCGGCACCAGAGAAGCCTGAGTCGAACGGGGCCCTTGAGGAGGCCAAGGGCTGGGAAGATCGGAGCCGATCCCAACTTCCCGAGGGTCGCCGGTGCGACGGAGGAGGGTCTGGGCAGCCCTCCCAGCTGGCTCAACTTCTCCTCCCCTCCAGTGCTGTGGCCGAGTTGGGGAGGGGTCCGTGTCACTCAGTCTCAGGGGAAAGAGAGAAGAGGGGGAAGGAGGACCGAGGAGGGGGAGGAGGAGCAAAGGATCGGGAAAGTAGGGGAGAAGGCAGTGGGCGGGCCCGGGAAGCGCCGGCTATCCTTGCGGAGGGGGAGCGCCGCCCCACCCGGCCGGGCCCCGGGGGGTGCTGCAGCCTGCGTCCTGCGCTCTGGGCGGGCCCGAGAGAGGGAGGGAGGGAGGGAGGGACGGACGGACGGACGGACGGACGGACGGACGGACGGAGGAGTGCGGGAGGAGGAGGGAGGGGGGCGGAGCTAGCCGAGGGCAGCAGGAGAGGCGGGCCCAGGGGTGGGCTCAAGGGCGGGCACTGTCCCGGCCAGGGCGGGCCCAGGGGCGGGCTTGGTCTGGGCACTGCGCAGTGACTCCGCAGCGGTGCCGGAGCCGGAGCCCGGAGCCGGAGCCGGAGCCGGAGCCGGAGCCGGAGCCGGAGCCCAGGCCAGCTCCGCGGGGCCGGCCGATCGCTCGCTCGCTCGCTCCCTCGCTCGCTCGGTCCTTCCTTCCCTCCTTCCTTCCTTCCTCCTCCCCCTCCCCAGGTCCGTCTGTCGCCCCCCTCCCTCTTCCTCCCCCCCCGCCCCTCCTGTCTCCCCCCTCCCCGGGCCTGCAGCCCCCGTGCGCGCCCGCGGCCCCCGGCGGCCCCCTCCCCCCGGGCCGGCACCAGCGCCAGCGCCGGGACCCGGGGGGGGAGGACAGAAAGGAGGAGGAGGCCGAGGCAGCCGCCTCTGGGGGCCGTGGCCCGAGGCCCCGGGCGCCCGCAGCGGGGCCCCCATGGACGAGTCGGGGGGCGGCGCGGGGGGGGCCGCCGGGGAGAGCCCCAGCCGCGCCGTGGAGTACCTGCTGGAGCTCAATAACATCATCGAAGGGCAGCAGCAGCTGCTGGAGACGCAGCGGAGGCGCATCGAAGAGCTGGAGGGCCAAGTGGACCGGCTAAGCCGGGAGAACCGAGACCTGCGCGCCGGCGCCGCGGCCGCCGCCGCCGCCGCCGCCGCCGCCGCCGGAGCGGGGCCCCTGCAGGCCCGGGAGAGCCCCTACCAGAACCTGCGAGACACCCAGCGCCTGCACCTGCGCCGCGAGCCCCGGCCGGGACACCCGCACCGGGCGCCGCCGCCGCCGCCGCCGCCGCCGCCCATCGCGGGCAAGGCGCCCTA